TTTAACCCAGGCTTTAGTTTAAAACCACGTTAAAAACATGAGAGCATCTTTCTTTACATGTTCCTCTGTCTGTCCCACATGTCGCAGCCTGATTTCTGCCACCAATCAAGCTCCATTTTTCAACCAAATTAATTCTTTCTAATTTGGAGCTTCCTGCGGTCGACCCCCCGTGGCGCTGCCACCGAGCTGCGTCTGCATCTGCGCTCATGTGCTGCAGTGTCTTTGTATGGAGGAGAGAACACGCAACAATAGATCTTAATGAGAAAATGGACCGCAATCAGCAGATTCTTGTAGGGAATCATTAAATCATTCCTTCCTCTCCTCTTTCGTCCTTCCTAGTCTTTTCTCTTGGTGATTAGGATGCTGATGATGGCATCTCAGATGTGTCCGTCACCAAAATGTGACATCTGCAATCTCTACACTTGTTTCAAAGCAATATGTAATATAACAAATCCATCTAAAATATTTCTGTTTAAAGAGTAAAATCAAAAGATATAAATGTTTTCTACCCCGCTGCAAGTCTAAAGACAAAATTAGGAAAGATTAAACAAACTGATTTATTTTTTATGCTGTATCTGTTTTTGATCATCTGACGATGAATTACATCAAAGTAGGGTAAAAAAACAAAACATCAAATGACTGTAATTTTTACCTTTTGTTGACTGATGTGAAATTGTTTCAGTCCTGTTCTTTTTTTTTTAGTGTCTGGGCAGTTTGTCTTTAGGCCTGTCACAATAAATCAATTAATCACACGCTAAATGAAAATTATCAACCTCATTTTCATTTATCGGCTTTATAATTTCTTTGTGTCTTTCTCTTTATTGAAGACATTGGATGACAAAAAGCTCAACTCTGGTGCCCTTCACTGACCCCTCCCTTTCTCTTTTCTCTTTAAAATCCATTTTAACCGTCCAAAGTCACGCGTGTGGATCGTTAAAAGCAGCTAAGCTAGCTGAGAAGCTAAGCTAATAGGCCGACCTCAAGAAAAAAACTCCTGTCTTGTCCAAGCTCCAAAATCCACGGTTGAAACCTGTGCCTTCGTGGAAAAGTTGTTTTTCTCTGCAAAAAGAAGCTGAGAACTTGTTTACAGATAATTTTAATGAAAAAGTTTGTGTGAAAAATGCTATGCCAAAGAGCTCAAACCACACCGTGCGTTCGCCATTTTGAGAACCGAAGAGAGACAGCCCATGTCACGTCAAGGGGCCTCCCTCCCATTTTTCTTAGAGGGACACGCTGCTTGCTTCCTCACTATCCATCCTTCGGTTCAAACAGTCTTATACTGCCATCCGGTGGTCGAAAATAGGTACTACACGCAAAACAAATAAGAATTTCTTCTTAAATTTGACAATAATTAGTCATTATTGTAATAATTAGTAATTATTGTCAAATTTCAAACAATATTATAGTTTATCACAATAATTTCTGAGAAAATCACCCAGCAAAATGTGTTACCGTGACAGGCCTATTTGTCTTTTTCGTTTTATTTTTTTAATTTAATGCTAAGGTTTTATTTTTCCCATTAAGTGTCTTATTTACCTTAAACTTTTAACAATGGAAAGATAAAACTCCTTCCTGTTTGAAAGGAACTGGAGAACAAAGCTAGCTATGAGCGTTTGTCTGAGTCTCGGTAGAAATCTTAAGAAACCTGAGAGTCTTCACTGAGTTAATTAGAGATTTAAAATGGTTTCTCTTCATCATTTGGATTTGAAACAAGGACCTGCACCTTGACATGTCAGACATGAAGGGTCTGTAGAGGAACAACCTCGACTCAGGGGACTTTAGAGCTTGCCAGGTGCACAATGAGCTCCTGAAGCTGCTTTTCTTTTTACTGCAGCTATCTGAGAGAAAGCAAGAAAGAAAAAGCCCAGCAGAGAGGAGGTTTACCGAAGGTCTGTAGGGAGAAGAGCGCACAAAGAGAGAGGAATTTTAATGAAAGCTTTGTTAGATTCGTTGAGTCGACAGTGGAAATGTTGATTCTTTCACCTTCAGTGTGCTGATTGGATCGTAAAGTTATATTTTATTGAATTTCAGGTTCTATCATTAAATTATTGACAAAAAATCACTTGGTGTATAACCTTGAGCTAAAACTTCATACTTTCGCACAATGATGGAGTTAAAGCAAAATATTAATAAAAATGGAACGCGACTAAACTGCTTTCATTTTTTTAAACACAACTATTATTATTACTGACACGTAATTAATAATTAACCACTATAATAACTACATTGCAGTTGTTATAATAACATATTTAGTGTATTGTTTATTTCTACTTGATTTATTTTGAAGCACATGAGGGTACATAAATGAATGTTTTGACAGTGTGTTTAAAATCACACTTATATACTTATGAAACCATATTTTTTCATTAAGGTTTAAATTCAGTTTGAATATATCAGAATATTTCAACCATGCCAATATGACCAAATATTAAAAGTAAACATGCATTTCTATATAACAAACTCAATTTTCATGTCTGACATGATGATGTTGATCTTCTGTGCTGGGCCATCCTTTTGGCCAGTGGCTGCTTTGTTTCCCCGATGTAAGACTGATCACAGCCCACGGCAGAGTCTTACATCGGGGAAACAAAACAGCCACTGGCCAAAAGGATGGCCCAGCACAGAAGATCAACATCATCAGGCCAGGACTCTACGGTCTACACTCATCTCCAGGCCAGCGGTCACTCTTTCAGGGATGAAGATGTTCACATCTTGGACAGAGAGGAACGATGGTTTGAGAGAGGAGTAAAGGAGGCCATCTTTGTGAAAAGAAATCGTCCATCATTAAACAGGGGTGGAGGCCTCCGGGTTCAATTGTCCCCCTCTTACAATGCTGTGATTGCTAGTATCACTCAGCCCTCTGTGAACAGTAAACAGCCATCAGTGTGCTAATGACCCATTGTTAGGCTGATGGTCCTTCTTGAGCATGTGATCAGCTGGTTTTGGTTGTCAGCAGCAAAACTGGTTGATCCACTCTGAGAAGGTGCTATTTAAGAGACTGAGCTGAAAACAGCACCTCAGACTGAGGAAGTCTCTCGGATGAGAGATGAAACGTTTCTACATTTTTTGTTGATTTGCTTTGTTTTGTTTTTTTGAATGTCCAGAGGACCAGATTTAACTTTTTTAGATTTTTCTACCCGGATTATTGAGCATGCATCGGGATACAGTACAAAGAAAACTAAATAAGAATGCACAATATAAAATTGTGTTAATCTACTAGTTGAGGAGGAGGCAGGTCTGACCGGCCGGTTGAAAGACGTAAAAAATGTTTTGTTAAGCTCAGATGGACAACGGGATCATCCCTTGCGCGTCTGCTGACTGTCTGGTTAAAGAGGTAAAAAAAAGTCCAGTTAAGCTTCAGATGGATCACCTGATCACCAGCCACGCGCATCTCTGCACCTGCTGTTATCTGTGTTGAAGGAAGTAGCAACATCTACAAAAGTCGAAGCGAGCAGCGTGTTCAGTTAAAATATATTTTTTTGGGTTCGGGCCTGTAATTACCTGTAAAGGACTGTAATGGTCAGGTCAAATTATGAAAAAATGGCTATGGGCTGGGGCCAGGTCTGATTTTTTTAGGCCCAAATGCAACTTTACTTCATTGAAGCTCTGAGATCTTTAAGGTTTAGCTCAACACCCAGATACTAATTGACCAAAAATAGTGGCTCCAAGACCAGAGTCAAAATTAACAGTATTTATTTACAACAAGTGCATAAGTTATGGTCTGGAGAAAGTGGCATTGACAAAAAGACAGGAGAAAGAACTGGAAGTGGCAGAAATGAAGATGCTAAGGTTCTCCTTAGGAGTGACGAGGCTGGATAAGATTAGGAATGAGATCATCAGAGGTACAGCACAGGTTGAACAACTGGGATATAAAGTTAGGGAAGCCAGACTGAGATGGTTTGGACATGTCAAGAGGAGGGACTGTGGGTATACTGGTAGAAGGATGTTAGAAATGCAGCTGCCAGGAAAAATACAAAGAGGAAGGCCAAAGAGGAGATATATGGATGCAGTTAGAGAGGACATGAAGGTAGTTGGAGTGAGGACAGAGGATACAGAGGACAGAGTGAGGTGGAGGAGGACCTACTGTGGTGACACCTGAAGAGGGAAAAGCCGAAAGAAGAAGTGCATAAGTTAACAGTATGATGCAGTCAGCAAGGAGGGACTGGAACCCTGGAGAGCAAGGAACAGAGTTAGCAGGAAGCTTTAGATCCAGAGGAATGACTTGATGTTTATCCAGATGCATGCTCAATGATCCAGGTAGAAAAATCTAAAAAAGTTAAGTCAGATCCTCTGGATGTTCAAAGAAACAAAAACAAAAAATTGTAGAAATGTTTAGTCTTTCATCCGAAAGTCTTCTTCAGTCTGAGTAGCTGTATTCAGCTCAGTTTTATAAATAGCACCTTCTCATAGTGGATCAACTTGATGTTTAGTATTTCTCTTACTGTTGGAAGTCGAGGTTGTCACAGAGGCAAAGTCCCAAAAAGGTTCCAGGAGCGAGAGGAAGTTCCAGAAAGGTTCATACAACAAATGGGCAAGTGCTGGGTGGCAAGGAAAGGCTGGAGGGATCACAAGGAGGCTTTAGGAGAAACTATGAAGGTCCAAGGCACAGGAGGAACACACAAGTCAGAGCTGCACACGTGAGGAGTAGAAATTAGTTTTCACAAATCACAAGGAAGAATAATAAGGCCAGGAACATGACTACCAATTGGCAGACAATGCCCCAGCGTCGGATTGAAGTCATCTACTGCCTTATATACTCCTGCAGCTCATTAGTAGAATGGTCAGGCGTGTTCGTGTTGGCACCCTTTGGTGTAGGAAAAGCTGCAGGAGAAAACCTGGAAATCCTGCAAGATGATTCCCAACAGTTTGGACTCGGTCTGATATAAGCACCATGCAGAAAGACCTGCATGTTTTTATGGCTGCTATTATGCATTTATTGCGCATGTTGAAGGTTCAGTTTTCCTGATGCCCTTGTGTTCCTTCCCTCTGTGTTGAACCAGGAGATGGCTAAGATCCTGAACCATCCCCGGGTCTATGCCTTCCTTCATGTGCCCGTGCAGTCGGCCTCGGACAGCGTCCTGATGGACATGAAGAGAGAATACTGCATCGACGACTTCAAGCGAGTGGTGGACTTCCTCAAAGAAAGGTATGCTTGAATAGAAAGATATTTTATAATGGTTCACACAAAAAGCAGTGTTTGTCTGTTTGTGTTGTTCTGTCTGTCTTCTGCTTAAGAAAAGCTAAACATGAGAGGTGCTGATGGGCGGTTACAGTCTCCATTCAGCAGTTTTGGACAGCGTCACAGCTGGATTTGTGCTGCAAACATCTGGAGCAGCAGGTTGTTTTCACATGAACTTACAGAAATAAGCTTTTTAGCTGCTCAAAAATGCTGCTTTATTTATTCCTCTGGAAACGTATGAGAGAACAATTAAAATTTAGAGAAAAGATTATCTTACACATACATATTTACCCTCAGAAATACAAAGATATTCTAGTTTCATTTGTTTTGTTTTTAATCTGTCCTGATGGATCATCATCTGATGTTGCCTGAAAGATGATAATTTAACCAGTTTCTATAAAACAGATAATCCATTCAGGAGTGAACATCTGTGGCAGTGCACACTGAAGTGCTACATAAAGAAGTGAGGCTTTCTTAAAATGAGTCATGTCATTTTGTCACATTATTGTCATAATGTCAGATTTCTGTCTGAAATCTTGGTTTTATTCTAGGATTTAGAGGTTTATGTGTGCACATGATGCTAGATGTTTCTGAGCTAAATGCCCATTTGTTTTCTCCTGTTAGCATGAGCTCATGTAAATATTAATATTCACTGTTTGTTGCACATCCTGGTTAAATTTGATGTTTATGTGCTGCAGGATGAATAATAAAATAAATAGGTCAGAGTCTGGCTAGATTCAATGTAAGATGTAAAAGCGGGGGATGGTTTTTATGCAGCTCGCTCTACAGATGTGTAAAAACTGGGTGCTCAGCATTTACTAATCTCAGCTGAGTTCCCAGAACCTGAGAGAGCTGCAGCCTGAAGCTGGACACGAGGCCTGTAGCTGCTCAGGTGTGCAGAGGGCTTCCTGGTTACCTATTACGCACCTGAAAGTGTTTCTCTGTTGGACCTCCTCCTTCTGATGGTGTGTCAAACCTAAAGACAGCAGGAGTTTTTATCTTGAGCCAGTCATGGTGTCCGAATCTGCTTCTCCACTGATGAGATGTTGAGAGCTTCTAAAGCTTATTGGATGTAATGTTTTTGTCTTTTCTTGTAACCCCCTGTAAAAAAGGTCACAGGTTCAGATAAATGAAGAACTCAACTCTGCACACGTTTGTTTTCATGCTGGTGTGTGAAACAGAAATGTTAGTTTCGAAAACCTGGTCAAGAGGAGCGAGTTTTCAGAACTGTTCTAGAATCAGCAGCTGCATTATTTTATAAAGGTTGACTGTGTGCCTTGTGGGGGTTACATATTTATAACAAAGATCTACACAAAGTACAAATAAATCCTATAGCTACTCGAGTGGACTGAGATTTTTATTTGTCTGTTTATTTAAGGATCCCCATTAGTTTCTACTGTAGTAGAGATGATTCTTCCTGGGGTCCACACCTAAAACATTGCAATTACATCATGCTTTTACAAACACACAAAAAGACATAATAAAATGCCTAAGATTAACAAAATCAAAATATAAAAATTCAATTCAACCATCTCAATAACATTTTGCAAGCATTACAAAATGACAAAATACTTTAAAACACACAAGAATTAAAAACACAAAAATTCACTAATTCAAAGTTAACAAACAATCTTCATTTCCATTATAAATTTATCATTTCATCAATTCAAATTTATTTCATTATCTATTATAGATTTTTCAAGATTTTTTTTTAATTAGCATGATCAGCAATTAATGTAATTACAGACGGCAGCGTGTTCCAATTAGAAATTGTTCAATACAAAGCTGTTCTTTTGAGAGTATTAACCTTAGGCAGAGGTAATGTAAATATAACAAGAGGCTCATCTAGTATTAAAAGTCATGTCTATTGTAGGTGGGTAACAACTGTGAGAAAAGGCAAAGCGGTTTATGTGAGGTCCAGATTTTGTGTAAAGAGAGAAGAAGGCTTCATGCTAGTCTGTCACAGACTTTCATCCATGACAGGCATTGATGCATGAAATCAACGTTTGTTTTAAAATGTTCTAAAACAGATTTGGACCAGTCCTTCTCCCCAAACTTGTATAATTACTCATTCTTTCTGTTTAAATCATTTTTAGTGGACAGGATGGAACTTTCTTACCAAATCAGGAGCTTACAAAAAAGGAATAATAAAATCCCCAAATTTCCCAGCAGTGTATTGTACGCAGTGCCTCCAACGTCCTGACCCTCATCTGCTTGTCCTCCTGCCCAGGTACATTCTGGTGCTGTGACATCAGGTTTACACTTATCTGATCTTCATGAAGAGGTAAATAATACAGAATAAAACCAGATTCATCAGACCATGCCAACATTTTACTTTGTTGGGAGAGAGGTCAGCTGCAGTGTTTCTCCTGCCTTTATACAAGATGGGGGCCCCGCCCTGTCAACAGAACCGAGCCCCCTGCCTACCAACCCCCACTCCCCGAGTCAACAACTGACAGCACTAAGCTTGTAGTGTGCCATACAGGCACGCTAGCTATAAAGCTATGGCTATGGAAGTAGTGCTCCTCTCTCCCTCATGTGCACCCCCGCCCCCCCGCCACGCCCAAAAACTGTTGGTACAAACAGCATGCAACACAGGCTTGTCTCCGTCTCCACCCCCTACCCCATCCCCAGCAACAAAAATCACAGAAGATATGAGCGCCCTGCCATGACAAGTAAACTAGGGGAAACACTGGAACACGTTAGCAATATACGTGCATTTAGTGATTACCATCGGGGCTTAATTTGTAAACCGAGCAATTCTGGAACACAAATAGTGGGCGGGCCAAGGGGGGTCTGCGGGTCCTCCCCCATAAAATTTTGAATTGAGTAGATGAGATTTCCTGCATTTTGGTGTATTTTAATGGGCTGTTAAAAATCTACGTTTACCTACATTTGTAAATAATCCACTTCTGTCAAGCATCCTACCCCACACTCCCCCTTACTTGATGGTTCAGAGCCCGACTCTGTCCCTGCTCGTTGTTGTACGACACCACATGTGAACCTCCAGGCTCTTGCCTGTGGGCTCTTGCCTGTGGGCTCTTGCCTGTGGGCTCCTGCCTGCGTACGACTGCCTGGTTATCTCGGCACTCACCCCCACCACTCTTGTAGGAGCGGAGATTTTTTTAAGGTTAGACGTGGAAATGCTACTTGGAGCAGCTTGTAAGTGGCTATTGTGTTTAAAATGAGTGTTTATGCAGTTATTTTCCGTTTACATATCCAATATAAAGTTTATTCATTCAAAGCAGTCATATTTGTTCATACCTTTACTATTAGAGGCACGAGAGTTACCAGATCCAAGCAAACAGTTACCAGAACACACTCTGTCAAAATAAGAGAATTCCCTGATCATGTTCCAGCAGAATCCAACTTAAATTAAGCCTTGGTTACCATAGATTAAGTGGGACCTCCAACAAGACTGCAGCTGCACGGCTTTATATAAAGCTGAATTCAGAGCCGTTAGTTTGAACATCATCAGCATGTTGAGCTACAGCAGCTCTTCTGTTGGGTCCAACAATTCACACAAAACATTCTGTGTTCTTAACTGGAAACTTTCAGAAAACCTTTTTAGTCTTTTAAACCAGTTTTAACCTTTTAATGTGTGTGACCTGAAGAAGGCCACTGAGGCCTGTCTTTGGGTTCTGCGTTCCTGACCTCTGAAAAGCCTTTAAGCTTCAGGTCGTAGAGGTGCTTTTTCTAAGGAGATCCACTCACTCTCCTCTCAGCTTCGGGTATTTCATCTAACCATTTAAATTAACTTATTGATCCCTGGAGTATTAAATTACAGAATTAGATCTGCAACAAGAAAGCATACCTCCACTACTTCATCTTTTACCCAAAGGAATGTGGATTTTAACCAGGATTTAGTTTTGTTTTGGCAACACGACCCCGGCATCCTTCACCAACCTTCTGCTCCTGGTTAATATGATTTAAATCACTGCAGCTGTTTATTGCTTTAAATGTACTTTAATCAACTTTTAACACAAACATCATTAAAAGGAAACAAGAATTTAGTGATCTGTGGCTGTTTGCATGTAACTTAATTAAATAAAATATATATACTGGAAGATTTTATTTTGTTCGATTTGTCTATACAGTGGTGTGGGTGTAAGCACCATTGCCTCACATTTTGAAGAGTGATGATTTAAATCTATTGGGGGTATTTTATACATTTTAATTACAATGTATAAAGTATGAATAAAAGCACAACCCAGTCTCAGGGACAGATGTGTAGAGGGATTGGATTATGTGCTGTGAAAGTCTAAAAGCAGAAAATGCCTCTTTCAGCCTCTTCGTCTCAGATTGGTTGTGTTGACTTGCTGTTAATAAGAGCACATTTCTGTGTTGGTAATATGTGGAAATGAGTAGCCAGAGTGACGCCGAGACCGTTGATATAATGTGTTGATGATAAACTTTGTGTTTGTGTCTGCCTGAATGGGTCTGAAGTGTAGCGACAGGTTCCTGACAGACGAATGGCTTGGAGACAGTAGTTTGTGTGGTGTGAGTGCGTGCAGTCCTGTGTTAGTCATTGGCGTGAGTCACAAGGAGTGACAGGCTGATATCAAACCTCTCAGGGTTACAGCAGGACACATGCTGCAGTAGCGTGACTGCACAGTGTTGTGTGTGTGCTGTTTGTCATTCAAGATACCATTACTGGTTGACACACATGCACTCCCACACTGGAGGGTTTAAGATATAATGTTGCACCTGAATAGCGGGCGAGAGGGATGGCATCTCCCTAAAGGGACTGAGAAGAAAGAAAACAAACCCCCCCAAAAAACTGAAAAAGAAAAATAGATGAGGTCGGAAAGATAAGGGTTTGCCGCTCTGACTTGGCACACTGGCGGGACTTGTCAACATTCCCACCTGCTTCCCCTCCAGCTGATGAGTCAGCAGGTAAACGAAGCGTCTCCGTGTTTGTTTGGACTCTCAGTCTTTGACTTGAAACTCTCTTTAGTCACGGCAAA